CCTCTTATCCCAGCCCTCCACCATGCAGGTCCCCGCCCCCATTCGGAATTAGGTGCCCTGTCCCCGTGCACCAGGTACTTAAGGATGTTCAAAAATCACTTGTCATGTTCATTTAGATGACCTATTTGCGTGTTTCTCTCACTAAATTGCGTGAGCGTCTCAAGGCCAGGGACCACAGTTGGATTTCTTTATCCTTGGTACCGAGGGTAATGATAAACTCTTAAATGTGAGAAGGAAGGAAGAGCTTTATCGTTTCACTCACAGATTAAAAGCTTCCTGTTTGTTTTTGGAGAAATTAAAGTGCATTTCAAGTATAAGTTATGCTTCAGAAAGCACCAGTCTGAATATTTAAAGTCTTAATGATCAGAATATAAATTTTTGGGTCTACCAGTTTGCTTTAGTGCAGTAATGGCCTCCCAGCGGCCTGACGGATTTACCGTGCCCTGAAGCGCCCAGGTTACCCCCAGCCAGTAGTTCTCCCACTAAAAAGATCTGCTCCATTGTCTCATTAATCTTCAAGACAGTCCCGGGAAGCAGGTTAGTGAGCAAATGGTGTTATCTTCTCCTAACAGCTGGTCCACACATATGTTGTGTCTTGACATTGTTTAGTTTCAGCACTATTTTCTCTTTATTTTAGTAAAAAATGAAATGAAGAATGTTTGGCTGTTTAATACTGTTTCTGTATAACACTATTAAATATCTAGAAGTAAAAGATTTGACCTTGACAATGATAGTAGTTATAATAGGCCTTACGTGTTTTATGGTGGAATTTACCTTTGGGGGTGTGTGTGTGTGTGTGTGTGTGTGTGTGTAAGTGTAAAGTGGGGGTGTAGATACTGGTGGGGGATGTTAGCTGACCAGAAGATAATTATGAAGTAGTGTTTATAAGGTTTTGATTTTATTACTAAAACCAGAAGTAAATAACTTTTTGATCAGGTCAGAATTATACCCTACTTTTTTTTGTCTTTTCTCTGGTAATTGAGGTCTCATTTACATATAAGAAAATGCACAGATTTTAAGTGTGTATTTCAGTGAAATTTGAGAAATGCCATTCTAGTTAAGACATGGAATATGCTCACAACCCCAGTACGTTCTTTCCTGCCCCTTTCCCATCACCCCCTCCCAATGTTGCAAACTGTTCTAATTTCTGTCATCACAGCTTAGTTTTACCTGGTTTACAACTTCATATAAATGGAGTGTGTNAGACCTGGGGCCCCTCACAGAGGGTGTGAACTAAACCCGAGGACACGAGCCTGGCTGCGCACGTCGGATGCGGCCTCGAAGTCTGGGGGCAGCCTCCTCCTTGGCCCCCTGCGAGGGCCGGGGCCTGGCCTACCTGCCAGTTCTGCCTGATGTGATTCCTTTTGAAGAGTCTGTTTCCTCAGACACAGAATTCGCCTCTCTCCTGTCCCTGTCCCTCTTGTTCTGTCACATGGCTGGTTTTCTGGCTGGGATGGTGACAGGAACAGGCAGGAGTCCTTTTGAAGGGACTAAGCAACATCATGGTAAATTAAAATTCTTTCAGAATTATGGAAAGGTTTCTGGCACTTCCCCTCCCTCGAAAATCCCAGTTGCCGGCCCCATCCTCCCCCCCCCCATGTGGGGACAGATTCCGTAGTCACCAGACGCTTGGCCGTCCTCGGGGCTGAGTCAGCTGAACGGTGAGTCCAGATGCTGCCACGTAAACCTCGCTGGTGAAACCTTCCCGCGTCAAGCTGGACGTGCGGCCGGTTCTGGGACCCTGAAAATCGCTTCTCTCCGTGAGCACTTCTCCACGGGCTGCAATTAGTGCAAACCCGGTCCTTCGGGTTTGGGCTTGCCCACCGTCACGTGACGGCGAAGAGCACGTGTAGGTACGCGTGGCCTCTCCCGTCGTAGGACAGGTACCCGTGACGAGACAGCAACACTCGGCGACAGAGTGCGTGGAAGGACACAGTGCCCAGAAGGGGAGGAAGTGCCACGCAGAGTTCAGATTTTATACGTAAACTTCGGCCAAGTGCTGCAGTAAATCGCCACTTTCTTTACATCAGTCACGGTGCGAAAGGAGACTTTTTTTAAGCGAATCATAATCTCTGGAATTCTGCAGAAAGACTCTCGTTAACTTTAGGCTTTTGCAGGATGCTGCTCCTGGTGAGAAACCAATAAAAACAAGCTCCACCCACGTTTACTCCCGTGACATCAAGGAGGGTTGAGCATTTCCGAGATTCTTTGTGCAAAACAAGAGGAAGAAATGTAGACGCTAATCAGCACTCTGCTCACTCGGATGGATTTGTTCTAATTTGTACTGTTTCTCATTCTGGAGTGCCCCTGTTATTTCTCTTTGTTTTGTGTTTCTTCTTAGAATATCATAATAATACGTTTCCTTTGTCAGGATAGCAGCATAACTGAGCGCCGAATTTTGTTTGGTACCTGAGAATGTTATTCTGTTTCTATCTTGTCATTTGGGTAAGAATGAAATCCTAAAATGTTGACATTTATAAATTTTTATTTAATGGATTCACTTGATAGAGTGTGGAGAAAAGATATGTATTTTCTCAGATATAGAAAATAGAGTATTAAATTGATGTGGGGAGTGATGCTGCAAAGAAACTTTTATGTGAAACTTCCAGGGATGGAAATGTCTGAATTTTCACCGACTTCACAATTACATGTATCTTGGAGGTGTAATTCTAGTCTTAGAACAGTGACAGGTAATAAGATGCTTATTACTGCTGAGCAATTAATGGGAAAACTGGATTCTTTCCAAGTACAGTCAGGTTTCCGTAACCTGTGATTATAGCAGATGCTCCGGAGCTTTCGTGACTTGTGATGCTGGGTGATACGTATGTTCATGTCACATCCACGCTTGAACACGTGCGATTGGCGCCGGGCTTGAACCTGCGTAACCTCTCTCTTGTTATTTAAACGTACTATTTCTATGTCTTCTATTTGTCATTTTTTTTAGGATACACGTACTTTTTAAATATGTTTTTATTAATTGTAGAGAGGGGGAGAAACATCAATGATGAGAAACATTGATCCGCTGCCTCCTGCAGGCCCCCGGCTGGGGATCAAACCCGAAACCTGGGCATGTGCCCTGACCGGGAACCAAACGGTGACCCCCTGGATCCTCGGTTGACGCTCAGCTGCTGAGCACGCCGGGCAGTGCGCGTGCCTGCGGACAGCGTTGCGGGAGTTAGGGAGAGAGATCCCTCCCTCAGAAGAGCAAGCGAGCGGGCCTGGCTCACGAACGGTATCTAATTAGTCTCATCGAGGTGGCCGAAGATCAGCCTCGTAGACGGTGTGTGGAGACAAGGCCACTTCTCGTGGTTTGGGGATTTTTTGACGTAGTGTCCAATTCCTTTGTCAACAGAAAACTCAATTTTCCTGAGCAGTTTATGTAATATGGAACTTGAGCACAATTCTAAGACCTCAACTTTCTGTTTTTTTACTCAGATTAAGTTCAAATTGACTCCAGGTTTACACAATAAATATGGCGAGTTGCCTTACTTGGGCACGTTGTTTAGCGTGCCGGAGCTTCCTTTTACTCATCCCGTGTATGTTGAAGCTTAATGACTTACCATTTGTCAGGCGTTAGACGGCCCAGTTCTCATTTAAACTTCATAGTACACCCCCCCCATTTTTAGGACATCGATTGGGAAACGGGCTTTTAAGTTTACAAACCTCACCCCGGCTGTGCAGTGAGTAGGTGGCAGAACACGGCAGGACCCAGGTGTCTCTGATGCCAAACTTCAAGCTCTTCCCTTTGGAGCCAGTGGTCCCCAAATTCTCCAGAATTACCTGGAGAGCCCGGGATGTGTCATCTCTAACCAGTTCCCAGAGCTCGGTGCTGCTGGCTGCGACTCGGTTCCTTGGAGGGTGCCCGGGAGAGCTCAGGCGTCGTGCTTGTGTCAACCATCACTAAGGTTTACTGGCTCCTTGCCACGTCGAGGCACCGTTCCGGAGCAACCCCCTTTGTGCTCCCACTCCCCCGGGACGGCAGTGGAAGTGTGGGGAGAGGACGGGTGGGTCACCACTCAGAAGGATGCTGAAGCGGGGAGAGGAGCTGGGGGAGGTGGTCTCCCAGTGGGTGAGCCAGTGGCAGGGCTGCTCGGACTCGCAGGGCGGGCTTTGAGGCCACAGCTCTGGAGCCATCGTCATGCTAAGGGAAGACTGAGAGCAAGGGAGACCCTTGCTTCCTTTCACCCATGGGTGTTCATGTCCTCGGCGGAGGGCCCCCGCAGGCCGGGCCTGGGAAGAAAGGGTTTCCCTCGTTGCGCACTGTCTCCCAGCATTGAGGGCGGATGGCGCAGTTTGTTATTCTGATGAATGACATGGTTCTGGAAGGGACGTGTTTCGGTTGAGCCATGAGATAGTTGACACTCGTTTGCCTGGATTAAAGGGACTCCAGGTGATTTCCTGTGTAGGAACCGTGCTGGGTGCCAGCGCATTAAATTAGAAGACTGTCCACTGCGGTCGGCCACCCTACAGCAGGGCGTCACTAGTCCGTGCTGGTCGTCTGCTCTGGCCGCCAGGGGAAATCTCAAAAGTCAAAGTGAAGGGAGTGAGAGAGGAAATCAGCCCGTCATTAAGTCTGAAACCTGCCCTCTGCTTAGGAAACCATAGTTTCCCCACTGGTTTTAATTCTTAAAGAGAAGGTATTAGGCAGTTTCAAAAGGTGAAAGCACATTGATATATAAATATCTCGTATGTTTGGTTCCATTAAAAATTTTGTTGAATGACTTTTACATACAAGATACTTATAAAAATAAGATGTTTGTCTCTCCTCCCAAGAAGAACTCATAGTGGACCTCAGCAGTGAGTGTTTAGTAATTTCCATAGGAGCATCCAAGCCTCAGGCTAGTGTGGCCTGGTGTATGTCTTGTCTTAGAGAGACTGGTGGGATGATTTCCATGACACCAGCATTCAAATCAGGGACAGACTTTTCTTTTTGATGGGATGGCTGTTGAACTGGAAGCTAGATAGAGTTAGATCCCACCCTCCTTCCTCTCAGCTTGGAGTTCTCGCTGATTTAAGGTGGCTTTACTGATTTATTGTAAAAATTTATCTCACAGCCTTAGCTGTGAACTTTCAAAAGGATATTAAGACCTACTGCTACTTTTCGGATGTTCATCTCTGTATTTTCTCCTTTTATTTCCCCCTTTAAAGATTTCAGACACAGTGGTGCAAACCGTAGAAACGGTCAGGAACCAAAAGGAAACAGCCCAGACACAGCTTGGGGTTCGGGTGCTGGATTTTAACCACGTGGTTTATGGGAAAATCACCTGTGTGTTCATTCTGGCTTCTTGCAGGTTGACGAAGCCCTTGTCGTTTGCTGACTGTGTTGGGGATGAGCTGCCGTGGGGCTGGGAAGCGGGGTTCGACCCTCAGATTGGTGTCTACTACATCGATCACATCAACAGTAAGTATTTCTTTTCGGTAAAAGAAGCCAGATCAGAAAAGTAATCCCCTAAATCTAGACTTGTACAAAAGAGCAAACATTTTACAAAGTGAATTGCTTTATTTTAACCCCCACTTTCTCAGTGACTAATATTTAACTGAAATGGCCAGTTTGGAATTTGGGGCGTGTGTGTAGAGTTGGGCTTATGGGGGCAGAGAGAGAAAAAGGCGCCTGATCTGTTCAACACAAATACTGACACCGAGTCTGTACGTTTCGCCCCTGCTACTTTTTCATTTGATCAGAAGTGTCACTTTTTTGTGGAGATATTCTCTCTCTCTCCCTAAAAGTTCCTACAAAGTCCGTGAAGAATTCATAATTGTGGGTTTTAAAGTTAGCTTTTATTTTTGTATTTTGTGATAACCCTTTCATGATACTATGTTATTATTTATATACTAGGTTTTATTGCTTATCAGTGATTGACAACCAAATGCTTTAATGTTATGGCGGAGGGGACTGATTTTGTTAAAATTAAGTTCATTTAAAATGATCATAATTCATTATTATGTGATTGTACATAAAACAATACAGTGGAATATCTGAAATGTGTAACTATTTAAATCTCACTTTTATACTTATTTTGTATGTATAAGAGTTTAGCTTTTTTCCCTTAAATATCATTTGGGACATCAGGAACAAACCTACCTGTCTTGGTTCAACAGAAATGAGCTCTCATGGCATGAAATTGAGAAAATGAATCCCCTCATATCCCTCCCACCACCTACATACAAACTTGGGTTCCCAGCCCACCTCAGGGCTCTCTCTTCTACTCAGGGAAAGAGGTGTTCTCAGCTCCCCCCCTCTGCCAAGATCCCTCTTAATAACCTTTATATGACCCTTCTCTCCTACTTCGTATCTTTACCAATTATTCCCAGTTTTAAAATTTTCTCCACCATTTCTGTATTTCTATTTTTAGTGGTTCTTTTGTCTTAGTATTTAAACACTGGAAACACTCAATATAAAACCAAACCAAAACCACCAAAAGTAAAAAACTGATAAAAATATCTCCCCCTCTGCCTCCCTCCCTCATACCCAAAACCGTCTTTCGACCCAGATCCCTTACCCGCTGTGGTCCTCTCTTTTCCCTTCGGGAAACTTGCTGGAAGCCACCTTCTGCAGGACTTCACTTCCTTCACGTTCACCAGCATTTCACAGAAACTGCTCCGGCCAAGGCCACCTGAGACCCCCGCGATGGATCTAGACAACACGTGGTCTTACCTTGTCTTCCTTGATGTGACCTTGCCCCGTCACTGGTTCCCTGTTCCTTTGGATTGCATAACACCTTTTGTTGGAATTTTGTTTGCATACCTGGCTGCCCCTGCCCAGCTTACTCTCGCCTGTCCCTTCTTCACCCCCACCTGGTGGTGGGGTTTCTGGAACAGTCTTCTGTTGGCACCCTGTAGACCTCCTTGGATGATGACTTCACTTATTCCCTTGAGGCGGATGGCTGACAAATTTGCCTCTGAAGCCTTGTCCAGAGTTCCAGGTGCATATATCTGATTCCTTACCAGAGGCTCTTTGCAGTGCGTCTGCCCCCGGCCCGCATTTCCTATCCCGGGCAGCCCCGCCCCGCCCTGTCCCGCCCT